TGGGGTGGGTCAGTCTTAACTGCCATGTCCGAATAAGAAAGGGGGTGGCAGGTTCAGTTAGCTGCATACTATGAGCATTGTATCTTGTGCAGGAAATATATTTTGCTGGGGAGAAATTATGTTGCAGTAGCAAGGACCTGTGTTGTATGGGAACGGGGGAAGGGGTTTTTCTTTGAAGCGGCTTTGAGTCCTATTTTTTTATTGAGTCATAGTTTGTATTGGTAATCTTATACCGACCGAGTCAGTATTTATTGAGTGAATACAGTGTTCAGAATCAAATTTTATGTTGTATTTGGTGAAGAAATTAGAGCTATTTAATCTCAACCTTTAATAGTTAAAAATGCCTCCCGAAAATAGAATTGGTAAAGTAAACATGAAACACCTATGATGTTAAAAGAAAAGTTATTTCAATTTCTGTGGGCAATGAAACCACTTCCTTTTAAATGTATAGAATGAGAAAAGTTCTTATGAATTGTCCACTACTAGAAGGCATATAGGAAAACCAATGCCTGCTGTGGTGGACCTTGAAAAGAGGAAGAAGAAGCCTTTTGTTCCATCATTCTCTTAACTCTGCATAAGGAACGACAATATCCTGAAGTTGACAACTAGAGAAGAGTCACAACATTAATCAAAGCTGACGAAACCCTTTATTGTCCTTAATAGTGAAAATGGATAATTGAAAAAGAAAAATGATACTCAATAATAAAATTTGTTTCAAAATGGTTATTATTTTAGCAATTAAATTTCAATGTAATAATGATAATTATTTTTTTAATTGTGTTGATTAATTATTATTTTGAACACTACTTTTAATATATTAATAAGATTAATTTAATAAATAAGATTAATTTAATAGAAGTGCATTGTTATAACACAATCATGAAAATTTTTTATGGTCAAAATCACCCAACTTAGTTCGAACTTACACTAAAACTGGTTCATAATTCCATGAATATTTTATAAAGGTTTTGATCTCACCTAATCAGTAGGAGTACTGGCCGACCACATGTCTGAGCTGTTTGACTGCTGGGGAAATGGAGGGGGTGTATCTGAAACACACTCCGATACTAAAGTAAGAGTCGGGCAGAGTGATAACAAGTACAGAAACAAAAGTAAGAATGAGATTACCTGACCCTCTAGTGAAAGAGAGTATTTATAGTGTGCCCCAACGCTAGGCCAACGGTTACTTCGCGTTGGACTGGGTTGTCAGACCCAATGCAGGTAACTGTTAGGGCTAACGTGGCGTCAGGAAGAACAGCACGTGGTCTTCGCTCTAGTGTAACTGCTCCGTGCTATACAGGAGGTGGATGACCGAATAATCAGGACACAGGTAGTTACCTGATGACGTGTCTCCGCGTAGCTGCTCGGCTTCGGGCGTCCACGCCCTTTCACTTGAACTGCAGCGGAAGGGTGGATTTGATTTAGCTGTCAAATTTACCGAGTTCCTCTACTTTTCAGGTAAATGACTGCCCGCAAAGAAGAAGAAATAACATGGTATCTGTCCAGCGACGAGGGGGGTCGCCAAGACGGGACCGCCGTGGAGCCTCCTGACAGGCCGACAGAAGAATGGGCCGGGGACGAACCCCGTAATTACATGTCACGTTTTGTTGATAATGACGCAAATGTCTTCACCGTAATCGAGGACAGAGTCGTCAGGGCTCCTCGCCAGTTCAGGGCATGTCGCCCTCGGGAGCGGGATCGTATTTGTTCTCGCTATGATGGGGGATGATTCCCCATGTACGAGTTCGCAATTAAGGAGGCGGAGATGCGCCTGCTGTTCACGGATTTTCAACAGGGAGTTTTCGACCATCTGATGTTGGCGCCCTCTCAGCTCCACACCAATCCTCTTACCTTCATTTGTGCCTTCGAGATCGTCTGCAACTATCTCGAGCTCGGAGCACCCATTCCACTATTCTTCTGCGTCTTCCATCTGTAACGGCAGACTGTGTCTGGGCGACACAACTGGGTATCCCTGAAGCAGCCGACCAGGATTTTCTGGGCATACACGAATTCTATCCGGGGGTTCAAAGACAGGTGGTATGTGGTGATGTCATAGACAGACGGGGCCATCAATACGCTGTTCCGACGTGAGGTTACCATGGTAAACGACAAGCCCGAGGTGGACTTTTATTCCCATTTCCCCTTGGAATGGATGGAGTTGCATTTCCAATCTATCACATAGAGCTTCATCTACCGGCCTAACCATCTAGACGAGGATGATAGTTTGGCCTTCAAGAAATTGACGACTTTGTCGGGCGGTTCCCCCTCCCAAATGCGTGACATCGGACGGGAAGTACATCTGCGACGCTAGCGGGGAGATCCAAACTGAGACTAGATATATCAACACCAAGGTCCTCCTTGAGTGCCGGACCGAGGAAAATGCTCATTGTTTCTTAGGTAGCGAGCAGCTTCCTCGGGTCACTTTGTTTTGTTTCGAGCTCCCATACTGACTTTGCTTTTTTCGTGTTTTCTTTGCAAGTGCTATGGGTTCTATGGAGGAACGTGTCACAAAGCTACTCAAAGGAGGTGGTCGACGTCCTACGGGGAGGGCCGCTATTGTTTGAAAGGAGGCCCATGCTGGACCGATGGGGCCGACTCCGTCACCCCATGGTAGCGGCTCCCCGGTCTCCCAGTCGATCCCTAAGAGGCGTCGAGAGTCCGAGACGTCTCCGATCGACTTGACGGACAACTCTCCTGACCGTCGTTTCATCCTTCCCCCTGCTGTCTAAGACCCAACTATTTTACTGGGGATAACGTCCCCGCCATGGCCTCCGAGGAAACCAAAACCATCCTGGCTACAAGTAAGGAGGCCTGGAGGAAGATGCTGTCTGACGACCTGGCCTCGATGGTGAAGGCGTTTGAAACAACTCTTGTACTCAACGAGGAGGCTTGTTCCTCGGAAGACCTGGCAACAATGCGGGGTGAGTTGGAAGCGTCTGAGGAAGTTAGGTCTAAGCTGGTTGCTGACCAGAAAGAATATTAGAAGCAGGACAAGACCCAATGCGAGCAAATCAAGGAGCTCGAAAGTACGGTGAAGGATGAGGATGGCGAGCTGACTCGACTGAAGGGGAGGGTCGCTGAACTCGAGGGCCTGCTGGCTCCCGTCAAGGAAGAGTCCAACGAGGAAAAGCTGCTAGTTTCCTGACGCGAGCTGGTGGAAAAGATCCGGTTGTTGGAGGATGACTGCCTGGGAGCTGTTGAGGTGGGTCTTAAGAACGCCGTGGCCCAGCTTCGGCTCGCCAACCCCGACATGGATTTGGTGACTGCGGGGACATGCCCATACCATCAAGTCCAAGGTGATCTCATTGTGGTGCCCGGCGGACCAGACGGTGAAGAGGAGCGACCTTCCGAGGGGGACCAGCCCGACCTAGAAGGAGAGGATAATGCTGAAGATTAGGAGTTTGTATGGCCTGCGTGCCCATTTTTTGTCAGCCTGCGTGCCGTGTAATAAATTTTGAATGTTGTTTGGGCCTTGTGCCCCTTATTGTAATTTCCAAACAGCCGGGCTCGTGCCCGTGATTTCATAACAATGTTTATTGTTTTTCGTTAAGTATTTGCGTGTGCTCGTTTATTTGTTTATGCATGCCCGTTTGCATAGATTTTTGTATGCTTGTTTGCATGTATTTATATATTATTGTTTGTGGGAGTGGTAGCTCGACGTTATCTGTTTTTCCCGGTAGTATAGGGAACTAGTCGGGTGATTGGGGTTATTACCCAGTCGGTTACGAAGTAGGGGCTGCGACCGTGACTCTCTCTTTGCGGGGTGAACATCCCATCGCGAGCTGGGCATTTTTCCATTTTGGTACGGCGGCGGTGGAGCTCGGTTGAGGGGTCCCCGTCGGACAGAGCGTTATGCCTGCACCAGGTCACGCTCCCGTGGTCGCGAGGCTGATCGTCGCAGGCAATGTCTAACTGTAGTATCTTTTGAGCTTCTCAGCGTTCCATGGTCGAGCAATTTCCTCCCCGTGTAAGTTTTCGAGGTAGTAGGCCCCATGTCTCGTCTTATCCCAAACACAGTAAGGGCCCTCCCAATTCGTAGCGAGCTTGCCCTCGCGCGAGTCCTTCTGGTTTCTTCGCAAGACCAGGGCCAACCTGGAACTCACGTTTTATGACTTTGCTGTCATATAGAAAGACAATTTTCTGCTTTAGTGCGGCTTCGTGGAGAGATGCCCCTGAACAGATCTCTTCGACTAGGTCAAGCTCGTCTCTGAGGGCCTCGTCGTTGACCTCCTCCTCGAGGGGGGACTCAGTTCTTTTGGACGACTCCCTTATTTCTACCGATATCACCGCTTCGGTCCCGTAGTTATTCGGAAAGGGGTCTCCCTTGTGGTCGAGTGGGGCGTCGTTCTGTAAGTCCATAGTACGCCGTGGAGATCCTCGACCCATCTCTTATTGCATATTTAATACTTTTATTCGCTATTAAGAAATTATTGCATATTTAATAATTTCTAATTAAGAAAAATAAGCATATTTTAAATGATAATTAAATTATAATTGTGAAAGAATAGAGAAATTAAATCTTTTAAATGCATGTTTATGATAGGATGATATCCAATGCATGAATGATTTGAAATGACATTTTTTTTATTTTGTTTTTTTTGTTTTTGTGACTGATTTTAAAATATAAAAAATTGTCTGCAATGATTGTAACTAGAAATTAATGATAATTTTTTGCTACAATTTATTAAATGTTTTTTATTATTGATCAAATACGAAAAAAATACATGATTATTATTGTTTAAATATTAAAAAAAATATTAATTATATAGAAAAATATATTAAAGATAAGTTAATTTCAAACTAAAATTGTCAGTAGAGTTCTGCTCCACGGACAACTAAGAATTGGTAATTTAGTATTGATAAAATCATGTGGATAAACAAAAAAAACTATGTTGGTCATTTTCCCTATTGTTACATTAGCTTTAACTGCTTACTAGGTATGTAACTAATGTTCTTGCATAATTTATTTTCTCACCATAGTAGTACATTTGATTATATTATCACCAATAATCCCTGCATGAACACTGCCCTTCCTTAAAGCAATGAAACCGACGAGTATCTCTAACAGTGATTTCCCTACCAGAAATGACTGATATAAGTTTGATAGCATTGTGGCAATCACCGCAGATTCTTAGATTTTTCACAAAAAGTATTGGGGCACCTTCTTCAGTGGAGATCAGACCAAAAGCAATCGCCAACTTCTCACTGTGATGCCATAACCTTCTTTCTTTCTCTTCTGCTTCTACCTCTTCATCTTTCACCAATGCCAATCTTATATCTGCTACATACCCTGCTTGCTTCAATTTCCTTAATAACTCCCCCATGTACTTGTGAATCTCTTTTATCCTTGGATGTGAAGTATCTTCAGCTACAAAGACATGCACCTTCTTATCTATCTCGATCCAACTACAACCTGGTTTCTTCTTCACTCCTCTTTCACGCATCAGCCGTTTCAATCTTGCTACCTCTTCCCATCTACCGTCACTTGCATACATATTTGAAAGCATTACATACAGAGTTGCATTACACGGTTCCAGTTCGAGAAACTTACTGGATGCTTTCATTTCTAGCTCCACATTTCCGTGCTTCCTACATGTACCAAGCAAAGTAGCCCATTCAATAGAACCGGGATTAAATGGCATTGTCTCGATAATCCTCTCAGCCTCCTTGAGTTTCCCTGCCCTACCCAAAAGATCTTTCATGCATGAGTAATGTTCTGCTTCTGGTTCAATCCCAAACTTTTCTTTCATCATGAACCTGTTTTCAGATTTGATTGCCAATGCATGAACCTGTTTACCCACAGAGGGAGACGACAAATTGGAGCATGCACTAATTACGCACACAAAACTACAATCATCCGGACAAAAACCAATACGCTGTATCTCCCGGAAGGTCAAAAGAGCATCCTCAGATAAATCCTCATATTGGGAAAATCCGGAAATCATGGTGTTCCAAAGAACCAAATCCGATTTAGGAATTTCTCCAAACACCTTCACACATTCCAACATTCCATGAGGAGCACACTTGGAGTACAAGTCAATCAATCCACTCCCAACACGCGAGTTCCTATGAAATCCACTCTTGATCATCTTCCCATGAAACTGCATTCCCCCAGCCAAATCTTTAAGGCAAGTGAATGCGGTCAAAACACTAGCCATGGTGAACATGTCAACCTCCAAACCCATCCTCTCCATATCCCCAAACAACCTTAGTGCCTCCAATCCCTCCCGATGCTGACCACACGCCACAATCATCGCATTCCACGAAACCATATCCCTACAGTCCTCCCCCATTTCTCGAAAAACCCATCGCGCCTCGTGCAACTGTCCCAATCTACCGTAACAAGCAAGAACCACATTGCACACCGAAGCATAATAATCATATCCACACAACAAAGCAAGGCAATGCAATTGCCTAACAAGACCAACATCTTCAAAACAGGCCGAAATCACGCCAGAAAGTGTAAATCCATCGAGCTCCATCCCAACCTCTCTGACTTCCTTAAACACCCTCAACGCCGACCCACACTCACCTCGGCGAGCATATGCCGCAATGAGGGTGTTATACGAAATAAGATCGGGTTGGGGAATTTGATCAAACAGTTCGTGGGCGAGATGGAGGAGAGAGTGTTTGGCACAAGCATGGATGATGGTGTTATAGGAAAAAACGTTAGGGTAGTTGGTGAGGTGGAAAGAGGTTAGAGCATTGGGAAAAGTGCCGAATTGGAGTAAAGGAGAGTGAAATGGTTGGAGAGGTAAGTTGAGTGTGGAATGAAGAACTTGATGTAGAAAGCGTGGAGGGATTTTCCAGTTAAGAAATCTCTTTCGGATATGCATTGTTTGAGAAGGGTTTGAAAGGTTTGAAGTTGAAGTGGGAATATGCATGGGAATTGGTTCATCTAAGGAAGAATGAATCACAACCTTAGGCCAATAACCAGCGCTGCCTACAACCAGTTCCGGTTATGGGTATCGTTTAGTCGAGCCTCTATTTTTCCCATCTCTTTTCCATCATTTATTTTTGTTCTTATACATTTGTAAAAGATCAACGATTTAGTTTTTTTCAAGTCTATCAAGTTAGTTTTTTAAGGCAAATAATAATATAATAAAGAAACACAAGTAGAAGATGAGATTACTCCCATTAAAATTAATCCGTCTCAAGTTAGATATCAAAATTTTAAATAATAATATTATAATTTAAATATGGGGTTGAATAATCATCAAAATAGAAACCATTAAAAAACTACAAAAGATCGAAAGATATAGTAAAAGAATAAACAACAAAAACAAAGTCAATCAATACTACTAACTAAAAGACTTAACGTATCTTTTGGATATTTAATTTAATTTAAAATTTTATTTTAGTCTCTTATTTAATAAACGTTACATATTGATCCCTTAACATAACCTTCATATCTATTCTTTCTGCATGTGTACACACGGGAATTGTCGAGGAGGGTGATAAGTATTTTAATATGATGAAAGAAAAGTTTGGGATTGAACCAGAAGCAGAACATTACTCATGCATGATAGATCTTTTGGGTAGGGCAGGGAAACTCAAGGAGGCTGAGAGGATTATCTAGACAATGCCATTTAATCCTGGTTCTATTGAATGGTGGTTATGCTGTCAAAATGCCTTGAATATGGTAAGCTCATAACTGTTGTGATTTAAGCTTGTGTGTAAACTAGTTTTGTTGTTGGTATATTGAACTCACGTGCTTTGCTGCCAAAGTCATTTTTGAAAGATGAGTTTATTAACTCTTGATTGCTGGTTATTTAACTTGTTTGCTCTTGTTAGAGTTGGTTGTGATTTGTTTTGATAATATTTAGAGCCCTCATCTAACTTTCTTTTGAATTAGTGTGTGAGTTTTGGTATTATGACAATAAGGTGGTAATGTCATGAGATAGGGGTTTTGATTGGTGTCATCAGGTCTACAAGAGGTTTGGTCAACCTATGATGGCAGGTCTTAGACATCTTAGGAAAGGCTGGTTTGTGGCAGTTAGCAGAATCCTTCGAAGTTGCTTTGCTGATGTGACAAGACAAGAAGGAGACTGTTACCATAAGTCTGTTGGAATTCATGACAAATTGGATTTTCATTTGTGGTTGACATAGTGTGCATAGATCTGTCAAGGGCTTTAGGACCTTAAAACTGCTGTTGGAGTTTGTGTTGGATCTGTCAAGGGCATGTTGATATTTGGAGTTGCTTGACTCTTTGCTTAAATGTACATTTGTTTGACTTGGCATTGTGATGACAAATGTGCTATTGTATAATTCTAAGTTGGTTCTTTGCTTGATTGGTGAGTTATAACTTCATGTATGCATTGAACAAATTGTTGAATGAATTTGACATTGTCATGTTTTAAGTTATAACTTTGTTGTTGAAACTGTCTTGAGTTTGAGCTGTTCAATTGGTGTCTACTTACTTTGAGATATTAACTATCCTTAAAGCAATACTTTGGACCAATGTTTTCATTCTTGATAACAAAACTGTTTGTTGTTCCTGTTTTCAAACAAAAGTTTCTAATCGTGTTGTGTGAATTTGTTGTTTTGTTTGTATGGTTCTTATTGCACCAAGATTGTAGCATCCTATTGCTTACTGTCATTAGGCTTTGGGACTGTCATTTGAGTCTTTTGATTAAAGACTGCTGTTAGAGGATGGATCCATCACCTCTATTGATAATGCCTAGGGTTATTGACCCTTCATGTGGTTTGCGTCTAGCCTTGAGTGTGATATCAGATTATTGTTTTTTAGTGTTGGTTTAGTGTCTCCAGGATGCTTGAGTTTCAGTTGATTGATTTAAGTAGGATTGTGACTTGGTGCAATATAGGTTTCTATTGTATGCTTGAGACTCGAGTTTGTCAACTCAGGTGGAGTTGCCATCAGATTGTTAGGTGTTTAGGTTTTACTATTGTTTTCTAAATGAGGGCCTCGGTTTGGAGCAGAGTTGGAGGGATGAGCAAAGGTCGTCTTGGGGGTTTAAGGCTATTTCTGTTTAGATCATTTAGGACTACCATGAGAATTCTTGACAGCTTAGGATCTTAACTTAGTGGATACATTGGGTGGGTGCTGATGCCTACTGATCAGTCTTTTGGTTAGGGTCATATTCTCATCAGACTTGCCCTCGATCTTTTAATTTTAAAATTGCCATCTGTTTTTGTTGAGGTAGTTTAAATTATAAGTTTCGAGATTTTGTGAGGTTGTGAAAGCCAGTTATAACAGTTTTAATGCACTGTCATGCCAATTGTCCAAACTTCATTTTCCTTTGTTGTTTTAGGTTTCTTTTTAGCTACTATAATTTGTGTGTGTGATGCTCTTAACCTGTTACAATTTGAGTTGATCCATGGGGCTATTGGACTCATACCTTGGACTTTGTCTTTTTGGAGATCTTTGTGTTGTGTGGAGGAGATCTTTGTGCAAAAACTTAATTTTTTTTTACTCACTGTCAGAATTCATCTTTGTGAAGACATGATGCTTTGAATCCCTCTATGACTGACTTGTATACGATAATCCTCTTTCTGCTTACTTCCATCTCTACAAAAGACCAATACTAGAATCAAAGGAAAGACGAGAACCTGTAACATACATAAACATGCAATGTTAGATGCAGAATGACTATGAAAATGCATACAGGGGATCAAGGCATCAAATGCTCAAAACTTTGATGCTGTGTTGTTGACTGTATATAACCATAGCTCTGCTCTGACAAGAATACTGATGATCATAACACTGAGGAAGACGGAGTACTCAAGATAAAAATTCGGCATTGACAAGAAATCCAGGTTGGTTGAAGGTCAAGTTTCCTGCAAAACCCTTCCCTCTCACATGTAGGTTCTAGTCTTGAAAGGTACGACATCCTATGCGGGTCGTCAGCGTCACAGACTTTTGAGAAACAATGATACGTTCACCATTTCTGGTTTGGCATCATATTCAAATGAAGCGGCCTCACTTAGCTGACTTCCCAAATGAACGGTCTCCAGAGTCGATAGTCTTTCTAATTCAGTATTCCCTTAACTGCACCAGACGTGCAGGATAGAATACTTCCACAGAAAAACCTCGTCTGAACGTGAATTTTGCACGAGCTATTGCATGGACAAACGCCACACAAGCTCCCGCTACTCTCCACATTAATCCTATGTATACTCAAACTTGGGTCTGGCTTATCACTCAATGTAACGACCCCCCCCCCCCCCCCACAACACAGCAACAACATAATATAATAATAAAATGCAAAATGCAGTAATATACAATAGATACGGTACATAAAGAAAAATAACTGTACAGAAATAAACACCCAAAGGCAGACAGACAAGCGCTAGGATTGACTCGCATAGGGAACATCAATTATCCCCAGCAGAGTCGCCAGCTGTCGCAACTGCGAAAAACACCCGGCGGAAAACAGAAGAATCACCATCGTTCGTTATTTATCCCAAAGAGAGGGAAAGGAAACGAGCGAAGAAAACCTAATGAAAAGGAAAAAGACGAGGTCATCGCAACCAAGTCCTGGATTCGGGAGTCTGTTACGCAAGGGGAAGGTATTAGCACCCCTCACGTTCGTCGTACTCGACGGGATCCATGCTTGTTGTCTATATAAGGGTGTGTTTACTATCTATGCTACAGGCTCTGGGACAAAAATAAATAAAAGAGACTCGATAGGGCATCGCCGCTCTATGCCTACGTATTCCCTCGTGCAATAGGAAAGTCAGAGTCAACGTAGTTCGGCTAACTACGGGTGAAAGGGGAAAGGTTGCTTGCCAAGACATCGCCGTCTTGTGCCTACGTATCCTCATCTGTTATGAGAAATCAGAGCAAACATAGTTCGGGCTTATACGACCACTGGTTGGTTCATCTGTTTTAAACAGAGTAGAGTTAACAATCGTTCTAGCAGTTAGGGACAATGCCTGTTTGCGGTAGAACAAAAGCTTAACAACACTCTTTTCTGAAAAAAGGATTTCCGTTATTACAATCTCGAAGGATAAAAGGTTCAGTGTTTTGTTTGTGTTTTTTTAGCGAAGAAGTGAATTTATTCAGTTTGTGATTCACGTTGCACTAGAGACTATGACATAGGAACGAATGCGTCGCATATCGTCCCCAAACGGGACGTACACTAAACACTCTAGACAAGCGAGGGGAGACCCCACACTCGTCACTTCCCACGTGCTTAAGGCTCATAACTCACAATGTTCATTGTATTTATTAGGTGAGTTGGAATGTTTAAGATAAGAAGAGAGACTCTCTAATGGGGAACTAAGACTCAAACCTAGGAGTTAGCATGCAAAATTCACCTAAAGTGGAGATTGAAAAGGGAATTCTACTTAGTGTTGTCATACATGTGTTAGATCCTAGTGTCTATCATAATCATCCTTAAACAAGGATGATTAGAACCTAAGGGAAGGAAGACAAAAGGAGAAGAAAGCATAAACATAAAGTAAAATGCAAGATGTAAACATGCAAACATCAGTGCACATTTAGAATGATAGTGAGGGAGGAAAATATTGTGGGGTAAACACCACCACAAGCCCATCTCAACCTCAACCATACATATGCAATTCAAAGAAGAGGATAGAAGAAGAATGCATAAAAGGTAATCATACAAAGGCATAAAAGAATGCAAAACATGCCACATAAAACCCTAATTGGAAGCTTAACAAGATGCATCAATTTGAACAAGTTATGAACATAATTTGGATCTAAAATTGAACATACAAACACTTTATTATGTCCATAGTATGAATCCACTGGATTTAATGGCTCAAAAAATGCATACAAGTCATTTTCAACACAAACTAGTTCAAGCACTGGTGTAAACACCATTAAAAGAGGACCTAACTTGGAAAATACCCTAAAAATAGTAAACATACCTAAAAATTACCCAATAAAATCTCAAAG